ATACACCATTATTTGTCTTTCGCTTAGGCTCTCAGTGAAGATGGGCGTCTCATCGGCTCCTGTGACCGTGATGAAAAGATTCGTATTAGTCGTTTTGCTCAGCCATATGTAATCGAGTCCTTTTGTCTCGGGCACACAAAGTTATCAATTCCATTCTTTTAACGTTCATGTAGACCTATCTCTGACATTGTATTCCTGGATGACATTCGTCTAATTTCCGTCGCTGGTGTAAGTTTCATGGAGTCAATGCATTTCCACACTTACCAACACTAATCACCTTCATTTAAACAGGATGGCTTCCTTCGTCTATGGAACTCTGTAGAAGGAATACAACTTGACTCCTTCGACGTAAGTTCGCAACTTCAGGAACTTTGCGGCGTTGGATTTGACGGTTCCCACAAAACATTCCTTGCTTCGCGTTTGATTAGAGTTGGATGCGTGGCTTTGCTTGGCATTCAATCGTACGTTCCAATATGCATATACTCTTAAAATTTTCAATTTCTATGTAAACTGGATTTCTTTTTAGGCATAATTGTATTCTTTCTGTGAGAATTTCCAAGGACTTGCATGCATTCGAACGCGCTAATGGTGCTATTGTTGCCAGCGGTGTCGTTTGTCCAGGAGGTGAACGGTTTATTGACTGTTGTGTTATTAATCACAAAGCCCCCAGGAGCTTCGAAGTTGTGTGCTTTACTGAACCGATCTCAAGGTTGATCTCCTGGATTGTTACGTACAATAATGATTCATCGCTGATTTGGAGTCAGGTATGTAGTACATAGCCTTAGATTTTGTCCTTATTCGGTCATTCATACATTTGAACTTTAGGCAAATGAGTTGGATGTCTTGCCTTCGGAGTGGAAAATAAAAAACGGTAAGCTCCATTTAGTGTTCCACTTTTTACTTGACTTTTAAATGCGATTAATGCAAAAGCTGCCCTTCTTTTGAATGCGGATTCTCTTCTTGTGTTTCATGATTTTGGACGCTTTAAAGTGCCTAGACTAGGACTTAAGCTCAAGTAAGAAATGAAGTGGGAAATGAGGCCAGACGCCTGTGGCTCTTCATCCGATCTGCGGTATTTTGGCAAAAGCCGTTATTTCTTAGATGTGGGGTAAATGTACCTACTGAAATAACTTTTCTATCCTTAGTTTCTTTGCATGGGGAATGACTAGTTTTTAGACCATAGGCTGCTTATGCTTTGAGGATTTTGGATACAGGAAGGTATTGGTTTAGTGGCATTAAATGATGTAACTTTAGACCACTTAGTTGATTTTAGCTAATGGGTTGCCGAAGAGGATCAAAATCCAACATTATTTTCTTTTTTTTAGTTCAATTTCCTCGAATCCAAATGCTAACCGACATGAGCAAGAGTTTTATGGACGCCGATGGAGTGACTGCATATGAAAGGGACAAAGCCGAAGTCCACAAGCGCATCAAGGAACGTCATCAGCGCCACCAGGCTAAACGAAAACGTCTGAAGCACATTGAAAAAGATGAGCATGAAAAAAGGGCATCAGTGTAAATTGTACTTTATTGTAATAAGTAGTACATGATTATTTAACCAACACTCAAGCCTCAATTCCCCCAGTTTAAGATTTTCAAGAATGTGGTGGTCTGGTGGGTAGCGCCGTGGAGATAAATGAAAACGTTGACAAGTTCAGACATTGTATGAAGTAGTCTATCTATTAAAAATTATTCGTCAATGTGAGGAAATTGAGCGGAAATTTCGCGTATACATCACATCACCTTCGGGCCTATCTGTCCAGTCAAGGAAAATGTGCCCTAAGATGTGGACATCTTCTTGCTTCCCACTTTATCACACCGAAAAACTCCAGAGAAATCTGTTGAATAAACTGTAGGGAATGAGATCATGGCTGCGTGGAAGACGCTTGATGAGTCCCCCATAGGGGGTCTCTAGCCCTATTGGCTCATAGGAGAATGTGGACTCAACATAGCTCAGGACTGCGTTCTTAGTTGCCGATAGTGACTGATTTGTCGAGGTCACAACAACGGGAATGCTTGTGCCAATGGCCTAGAGACCGTGAACACCGTTTTGTTGTGAATCGTGTTTATTCACACCCCTTAATCCTGTCGCTCCACCTCCGACACAAGGTTCCTCTTTTCGCAGCATGTCGTTAGCCGCGCGGATCCTCAACTCCCCCCTCATTCGCATATTTTTCTTGGATTATCTTCACACCTAGGTCGCGATGTTAGCGCATGTGTGACTCACACATCCGAGGTATAAATACACACGCGCAAACCCCACACACGACACAATGGCACCAACGTGGCTGAGCTCTGAAGTGAATGGTTGTGTCCAAGTCCTCTCCGAACTTTTTCTTCATCACGGGTATCAAGCAAACGTAATCGGGCCAGGGTTAATTCCGTGGCCTCAGCGTGGTTCAAGACCACATGCTGGGGCCCGCACAGTTTCCCTAGTTGACGCTTGGGGTGTTTCATCCACACTGCGGCCCAAGTGAGGGTGTCGTGCTTCGTGGAAGTTTCTATTGCATCCGCATTTGTGAATCGCGACTTGACTAGGCAAGTTTTCCTCAGCCCTGGTCAACATTGCTCCAAATATTGACATTTGGGCGTTGACAGTGCTCGAGTAACACTATGATACACACAATAGCAGTCGCTTGAGGAGCAGAACCACCGCTGCAATGTTTGGTGACCTACTTTTCAGCAGTTCTGACAGCAGCTTCGAGTTCTGTCTCGGTTTGAATACCAATCTTGGACACTATGACGTTGAACAATTTCCTCGGTCACTTTATTTGAATTGTAAGATGTTTGTCATAATAAAATCGACAAAATTTTGCACAGTCTCGATCCAATGACTAGAAATGATTTTTGACACCATTAAATTGGTAGAACACGAAAGATAAGTTCCAATGTGGTTGTGTAGCGCGGTCTGTGCATCCTAGCGTTAGATGTCTCTTCGCAACTTTCGTCTCGAGAAAAACGGAAGTATTCTACACGTTTTTGGCTTTGAATTTCTCGCAGCATATCTTAATTGGAACGTTTAGAAAATGGCTACTCCACCGCCAGTTTTTAAACGAAGAGACCGAAGGAGGTCGGATGGTTGCTACGGGTTTCCATGTCACTGTTTCCCTTGGTTATACAGTATAATAATACTGGGGATGATGTGCAAAAGTAGTTTTGCTTTGCGTCCATCTAGACCTCGCAGGTAACGCAAAAGCAATCGGGACACCTGAAAATGCTCACCAGTTTTGATTGGTCACAAGTAACACAAGTGGCTATCACAAAGTTTATTCTCAATGAGATGACAAGTAATAAATGTAATGATTTCTGTCCTCCGGCAAATAGATACCTAAAAGAAACTGCCTTCACGCTACCGACACGCACGAGACGCATGATTAACTCCATGTGGGGTTGATGTATTCTTTGTTGAATTTGTCCAGACATCCGTCCAGGTAAACTGCTCCGTTTCTAAAGACAAGCAAGGATCAAGTTTTGCAGACAATCCCCTTCCTAGTCGTGTTATTGAAATAAATGTTCTTAGCAAGGCCAAAATGAAGCACTTTTCGATTATACTGACACTTGGACCTTGTGGTTACACCAAGTGGTATTAGTGAAAGGTAGACTCGAACAAAGTAATCGATTCAACGGGAGTAGGTAATTAAAGTGGGCATTCTGAAGTACTTACTGTAATGGTATACATTGGTACTGAAATCTTTTAAACTTATTCGAAGGTTTAGCTCCCATTCCCATAGATGGAAGAAACTTCCATGTGCGTGTACTGACGCGTGTGTTAGAACATAGACGTCTTATTCAAGCACGAGATTACCCCTGTAAAGCGGCAATGGGAAACCAATGACTGGTCACTAACATCTCTAATTACACCACGTGATTTATAAGGGGGTGAATGAGCTTTCTTCCATTTTTATACCTTTGTGGAGAAGCAATGACAATGAGCAAGTAGACACACTTCAGGAAACTCACTTGAGAGTCTTGGCGGACGTGGTAATGTTATCGAGAGTGATGAGATCCTTATCCAACTGGGACAACTCGCTAAGGACGGCATTGACGGCGCCTTCTCCTTCACTCGCAAGACTTTTTTGCATTTGCTTCAGTTCACGCTTCACCTAGAAAACAAGCTGAATTTGTGCAGGTTTTGCGTATTTGTGTGCAATTATTTATCGAACTAACCGTGTTTATTTGCAAGAGAAAAAATAGTGACTTGGGGCTTTTCTGCCCTTATCTCCAACATGAAGCAGTAATTCGACCAGGGTGAGGCTTTTTGGGCAGTCCTTAATCACAATTTCACGTTTATGCGTGTTGCAAAGACCAGTGGTTGGTTTTGTACAGCGCGAGCTACTTTGACTTTATACAAATCTTATTTACATAATCCGGATGCGGCTAGGGTGTTGTGATAAGTAGGTTCGATATACATAGGTGGTCAGATGTTTAAATGTCAATGGCGACGGATTAAACACGAAAATCGGCAAGGGCTTTGGGCAAAAGGCAAGGAAACCTGTTAACAAGCATCCCGTACTGATGGACGTCCGCCATTGCATGAATCCCGCAAAAACGGCAGATGTTGCAACCTAAGTTTATAAACTTTATTTTGAGGAAATATTTATCAGAGATTAAATAGTATCGTGCTAATTTTGACTACTGACTCCAATAAGGGGTACAGAAAACAAAAAGTGACTCGTAGTAGTATTTATAAATACGGTTCTACTGGCGTCACATAAAAGAACGTTCGCCTCTACCTGATGACGAGCATTGGTGCCAGTTAGATCGACAATGAGGCGCAGTTTGTGCGACGCGTATTCGACGTATTGCGACTTGAAAACGACCTCGCGCGCCTTATTGGTCCACGAAAGGCGCTCGTAGGCGTAGAGTCCGGCGTACAGGCCAGCACATATCATTATCACCCGACACCCGGTCGCCTTGAGAAGCTGCAAAAGAGACAAACTAGAAGTAGGTATGCAAACTGCATAAACTCGACTTATATCACTTACAGATGGAGTGACTGAGGTGTCAAACTGAAATCTATAAGGGCTGGCGCTAACTTTACGCAGGACGCTTAACTTGGAAAGACGCTTACGAGGATGACGAGACTAATCGCCCATGAACATACAAAGATGACATTTGCAGCATGATAAATTCAACGTACAATCCCAGCCACAACCAGAGCACCGATGGTACTTCGGGCGAGCAGTGATGGAAGAGATGTGAGAAAAGCAGGAAGGACCGGGGAGTACTCGGGCATTCCACGAGCTGGAGCCTAAAAATTGGCGTAAAATCACTTATTTTCAAGCAGACGTTAAACACAAATTATTACCATTGACGTATAATGCCACGAGTTGGTTGTGGTTAGTGAATAACAACTTGTAATATGTCAACAATAACTAAGTGCATTTTAGCGGAGGCTTATCTGAACAACGCAATCAATGACTATTCGAAAACTGGTCACCGTGTCACACACGCCGCAAATTTTGCAAAAAAATGTTGAAGCCGAACCGAAGCTCAGGGGGCCGCAAGTTGACAAGCCTCTTGACAGCGCGTCGCGTGTCGCACACAAGTTTGGTGTCCCACTTTAACTGGACTCTGACTCATCAAGCCAACCAGCGAAATTCGGACAACTCTCTGCACCGAGGCT